TTCATTGAAAATATTTAAATACAAGTTATTAATTCAAATCAGCTCCAGAAGACACATAGGAGGGTACTTTTCAATGCTTTACAAAATACTTGACTGCTTACGTGGCAATGGTTTTTCATTTCTGAAATCATAAGATATGTCAGTACAACCAGTTGTACTGATTGTGGACATCTCCACAGAATCCAAATGCTATTGCTTTGAAAAAGCTGGAAGATGGAGAACTGGAGATCCCAAATCAGATAGTCTTACATTCCTTGTAACTCTTTAAAAAGAAGAGTTCTCCACTCCTCTGCTCGCAACAAAATACATTATGCCACCAGACTCAAAATTTTGGTAAAAGGCGAAAGATTTATACGATCTGAAGACAAACCATATCAGCCAAATGCTCCACGATCAAAGACAATTATCTGAACCTTCTCAAGAGAACAGGTCAGGATCTAGACAAGTGGAAGAACATGCAGATATCCCTACTAGGTAGAATAGCAATTATAAAAACTTACATACTCCTGAAATGGATATACCTATTCTATACAGCACCAGCTAGATTGGATAATAATTTTTTTAAAAAACTAAATTACTATGTCCTTAAATTCATTTGGCAAAATAAAAAACCCAGAATCAAACTTAAAATGCTTCAAGAGCTTAAAGAAAGAGGAGGATTTGGTGTTCCAAAATGGGAATACTACTATCAAGCCGCAAATTTAGTCTGGATCTGGGATTGGATATTGTTGAGAAGAAGGAGGTTGTTGATCTTGGAAGGGGAGGGGCTACATCAAGGTTGGCATTATTTTCTTTGGCAAAACAGAATCCCAAAGCACAGGTGCCTTGCAGGACATTATGTGAGGAATATTCTAATTGAGTCCTGGAGGAAAATTAAGGGTAAATTTTATTCTTCAATCCCCTCTTGGCTGGTCCGACTCGAAGCTATAACGTATAGGCCTCTATATAACAAAGAAAATCATCTCTCTTACCGGGAACTTTTGGACCCCCATGGTAGTCTGAAATCAAGAAATGAGTTGGAGTTGCAGGGAAGACAACTGGATTGGTGGGCTTATGCCCAAATTTGCTCAAAATTTAAAAAAGATAGGGAACAAGATGGTATTAATTTGAATCAGCATGATCTGGACAATATCATTCTAGGAAAAGAGGACAAAATGTTATCAAGGATATATAAACTTTTAATAGACTATTGGATAGGTGATGAAATAGTTAAAGACTCTATGATTGCCTGGGGGAGAAATATTGGCTATCCAATTGATTTGACAAGATGGGAAGAAATCTGGCTTAAACATATGAAATTCCTGTGGGCAACATCATACAAAGAAAATGTGTACAAGATGCTGTATAGATGGCACCTTCCACCTGCTCATCTTTCTAAAATGTATTAAAATCTCTCACCAAACTGTTGGAAGTGTGGGGAGATTGGCACCTATTTCCACATGTGGTGGACCTGCTCCAGGGCGACTGAATTCTGGAAAATTATACAGGCATGGATCATGGAAATCACAGGTTATAACCTAATTCTGAAACCAGAGTACTATCTACTGAACATCAGGCCAAACAACATAGGCACAAATATATGGTGTCTGTGTGTATTTATCACCACGTCAGCAAGAATATGTTTCGCCCAACATTGGAAGGGGAAAGACCTGCCGGCTGAAGATTTGATTTTGGAGAAAATTTTGGATTATGCGGAAACCGACAGACTGACTAAAGCATTGAGAGATCAAAAGGACTCCGTATATTTCCAATGTTGGGACAAATGGTACATTTGGTTGAACAACAGACGCCCAAAAAGTCAAGTATAACCAGGATTATGTTTAATATATGTTAAATCTGACTGAAACCTACATACCGTAGAAAGTGTAAATATCATGTAAAGTTCCTGTCGCGATCATTTGTTTGACTATTTCTTCCTTTTGATGTATTGTTTTAAATAAAAAAAAAATTTGGGCTTAGACAACTTCACCGTCTTCAGTCTGACCTAAGCATAGTACATACAATCATTGGCTACAATGTCCTACCAGCCAATGAATACTTCGGCTTCAACCAAAACAATACAAGAGCACACAATAAATACAAACGCATGCTAAACTGATCCAAACTAGACTGCAGAAAATACGACACCAGCAACAGAGCTGTCAACGGCTGGAATGCACTACCTGACTCTATGGTTTCTTCCCCAAATCCCCAAAACTTTAACCGTAGACTGTCTACTGTAGACCTCACCCCATTCCCAAGAAGTCTATACCAGCATGCGTACCAGCATGCCAACCATGTCTGTCCTAATGTTTTCTTTTATTCATATCCTTTTATTGTATTTATAATTATGTTTACATTTGTATCTGTCATAAAACACACGCTTGATGAAATAAAATAAGTAAATAAAATAAAATGCCCAAGATCTAGGAGGCAACATTGTTTCATGCATTTTCTCTATTTCTGAATTCAGGAAGCTGACCAATGTTATTTTGTCCCAAGGTCCATAAAATCCAGACAATAATGCTGATCTGGCACTGCCACGTTATCAGATGTTAAAAAGAATTGAAAAAAAACAAAACCCTTTTCCTGGAAGAAGAACAGGGAGAGTTCTCTTTAGCCAAGGTTAAGCAAAGGTTATGATGCTACAAATTGGAACTAAATAAGGAACTGATATTGAGAAACTAGAACCTTGTTAGCTAGAGCAATAATGAACCAAAGGGTCCCTAAAGGTGAGTGATCTGGAGCATGAATACAAATGATTACACTATTATTAAGATGTCCATCCATGAAACCAGGTTTGAAATACAGATTAGAATCTAAAGAGCTAAATTGAGGTGAATTTATCTTGAGGATGATTTAGCATTTATTTTTCAAACAAAAAATCCTAATGATATACATACAAATATAAAATTACTGTATCTTTTTATTTATATAGACAATTCTTTATATCACAGTCAATAACTTTATCGTGTCTATAATGACACATAATATAATGACACATATGTACTATTTATGAATGTAACATAACAGAAATATATTACACCTTCATATCAGTACTATACCTGATATACTGTATATGTACTATAAGATAAAGTTATTGAATGTGATCTAAAGAGAATTGTCTAAATAACTAAAAAAGTACAGTAGTTTTATATTTGTATGTATATTATTAGGATATTTTTAGTTTAAGAAATAAATGCTGTATTGCTCCTCAAGATAAATTCACCTCAATAGAATAGAATAGAATAGAATAGAATAGAATAGAATAGAATAGAATAGAATAGAATAGAATAGAATAGAATAGAATAGAATTTTTTATTGGCCAAGTGTGATTGGACACACAAGGAATTTGTCTTGGTGCATATGCTCTCAGCGTACATAAAAGAAAAGATTTAGCTGTTTTAGATTCTAATCTGTATTTCAAATCTGGTGTCATGGATGGACATCTTAATAATAGTGTGATTGTTTGTATTCATGCTCCAGCTTACCCCTATGTCTTCCTTAATCTAAATTCCTCTGCCCAAAGACTGTACACCAGCTGGAAAGGGGTTGGACTAATATAGTAAGTGTCAAAGCCATTGTCCTGGATGGAATGCACATTATCAAGGAGTACATCAGTAAGATTGCACCCAAAGATGAGCTGTTGAGTTAAAGCCTGGGGAGCAGCAGATATTGGTGAAAGATCAAGCAGAGAAAGTACCACGGAAACTCAAGTTGTATTTATTGGCAGCCTAACTTATGAGGTGGCTTTTTCAGAGGACCCCAGAGAATGGCTTCCAGCAATCTTGGCATAGATTTTTCAATTTAACAAAAAACCATTTTATGCCTTGAAGCAAGATATACCTTTCTTTTCTTAGAGCCAATCTCTTTCTTGCACTGCCATTGTGCTTTTATGTCAACAGCTACAGATATATTATGTGACATCAAAGTTAAAAAATCAGATCATAGCTTGTGAATACATTAAATTGCATGTTTTATCCAAAATTCATTCTGTATTCAAAATAAGAATCATAAATGGTAGATATAATTGAGAGATATTAATTGTTCTACAGGTCCAAGTTAGTTCTATGGTTGACTGGGATTTTAACTTAAAGCCATTCTGATTCCTATCTAGCATTTTTACAGCTATGTTATAGAATTTTTTAAAAAATAATCAAGGGGGAAAAAAGGGAGAGAAAATTTATTTTTGAACTAATTGTGTAGAGTACTTCAAATATTTGAGCATTTGAGACATTTGAGAAGGTAGGTGGTTCCATATTTAATAAATTCATTCCTACTTTTTCAAACTAATTTACTTTTTTGCATGTGGAATAGTGGAATAGCATGCTAATATCAGAAATGTTATTATTTTTAATTGAAATTCATTGATAAATATGTTCAGATGGATAACTTTTGGCAATTTTCACATTTGTACAGTGAGGACTGCTGAGATATGCATTTTCTACTGATAGAATTGCAATGTTTTAATAATTCCATAACGTCACAGCCAGCCTTCTGATAAACTGACTAATTCAAACTCTCAAAATTCCATTTAGTGAAATTTTTGTTTAAAGCTGAATCCAGGCGGTTTCTTCAAGACTTGTATTTTAAGTATGCTTTATCAGAGAAGTTAGTCACAATGTCATTAATGATCAACAAGATCTCTTTGGTGCTTATTTGGGAAAAATGCAAATTATCTTTTAAAATGCAACCAAATTTAAAATTCAGGACACATATCCGTAAATATAAATTTTTCAGTTTCTTACATATCAATAAAACATTATTTTTACCTGCACAGAAGGCAGTGGTCACAATCCAAGGTTGAATGAATCATGCTTAGTTCATGGGTGTTGAAAGGCATCCATGCAACACAACATTTAACTTCAGACCTAAATACTTTGCAATTAATACCATTATTTTTAATATGTCTAAATTAAAATAAAATAAATATATAGATGTATTCTTGGCCTGAAACATATCTTTGTACAAACAAAGAATATTATAGTTCATTTTGCAATTGTAATTTAATGTATACTCACCCAGAGTCACTTTTGTGCAATCTGTGGCATAAACAAACAAACAACAAATAAATGTGATATACCAAGTTCAAATAGGATATCCCAATGAAATGCCGTATTATTGAAGTTAACTGGCAAGTATCTTTTTTTCCAATGTGAATTGTCCAGTGACGTCTGACAGGATATATCTGGAACGAGCTCCCCCCAGAGATACGGAGGATCCCGGATCTGCGCACCTTCCGCCGCGCCTTAAAGACCTTACTATTTCACCAGGCCGGCCTGGCCTAAATTTGCCCCTCTTTTATAAAAGATTTTTAAAATTTTAAATATCTTTTAGTATTTATATATTCAATTTTAAATTGGTTTTAAAAGTTTGGGGTTTTAAATTTGTCGGGGCCAAAATTATTTAATTTGATTTTATTCTATTTTTTAAATTTTGTATTGTATGTGTTTTTATTGTTTGGCTGTGCACCGCCCTGAGTCCTTCGGGAGTAGGGCGGTATAGAAATCTAATAAAATGAAATGAAATGAAAAAATATTTCTGATAACTGAATGCTAGCATAGATGAAATACCTTTCAGCACAGGATGAGTGTGCCTCATGTTTCACTCAAATAGAGGTCACTAGTTACAAAATATATTTGCATTATTTATGCCTTTTGGGGTAGAAGCTAGGCAGTGCATCATTTTTATTATTTTTACCCCCTACAAGAAATAATTGAGACATTAGTGACTTATTTGCCCTCCCCTTTAAACTTAGTTGCATTTTAACCAATTTCTCCAAACTTGTTTTACTTCCATGACTAGAAAATTGCTTTCTGCTACCTTGCTCTTGGCACATGCATTCCCCTACCCCAGTGCCTTCTTTGCTAGCTTCCATTCCACAATTAGATAGCAGAAATTGCATCTGGAAGAATTTGTGCTATTGAATATCTCATATTCAGGGAATTGGAGGATCTGGAAGAAAAATGTTGTAATGTAATCTTCCTGTTTAGCAGAATTGCTTCCATTCCGTATTTCAGCCAAAAGTTAAGGTTTCTTTCATAATTATCCTTTCTCCCCCATTCCCATTTCCTTTGGGCTAACAGTGAAATTCTATAATATGAAACAATCTTATTTTTCACTGGGCCATTTTTCCAGGAATTATGTGTGATATATTCCCTCCTTCCTTTCACTGTTTTAATAGCATTTTTCTTTTAAAAAGTATTTTATATCAATTTCTCCATGAAGCAGGTGATACTCTCACTTGCTTTTTCTTGTATTTGTTTTTTTTCCTCAGAAAAACACAGTGATTCACTTTCAGTAAACAAATTCAGAGAAAATCCTAGTTTTTTTTTTTTTTAACTGACATAAAGCATTTATAGCATCCATAAAGAAATGTGGCCATTTTTACATCCATAGATGCCTATATAGATTTCAAAGACTCCTACAGTTCTTTCTGAAATTATAGTAAGAAGAATGACAGGCTTTGTGATCATATTATTTAATGGCATATGAGTCTCCTTATGTGAGGTTTTCTGGCTTCTGATATTTTCTGTACTGAAAAAGCAAAATAGTTTGAAGATCATGACATAACCATGACAATATTTTAGTCCAATTGAGTTTTGGGGGAGCAATACACAGTTGGATGAGGAAACACATTTCTGCTTTCAATCTGATATCACACATTGTGTTAAGAATTCTCCAAAATCCATAAACATACCAATCAGTTTGCATCTGTCAATCTGTTTCTATTATTTTATGCTTCTTTCCCTCCAGAATATAACTTGTGTCCATTTTTAGTTTGGAGAGTGTTGGGATTTAATTTGAAAAGGGAATGTCTGCAAATCAGTTTTGAGCTTCTGCCAGTCAAAGTGCTGTGGTGGCTAATCTTCTCTCCAAGCTTTGACTCCTAGCCATTAGCTTCACTAATTTTTTTGATATTATTTGAGTGTAGCAGTCTTTGAATGGAATATATCTGCAAACTTTCTAAGTTTATTTTATACTAATATGATTGAAACAAATCATGCCTGGCCCAAATGTGATCCAACTCAAATAGGTCTCACACTGCATGGTCTTCTCTTGTGTTTGGAAACATAACAAATGAATTCATCCTGTTATATGAAAAGAATCCCCACTTCCTTCCAATAAATCTAGATGATCGTAGGTTTGTTAATAATATGCAAGGAAGGAAAAATGCCTTTTTGTTTCTAAAAGTGATTGGTTTCAGGTAAATGTTTTCACTGGAACTAGTTCCTGATATCCCTTTTCATGAGCTATCATCGCAAGATCAGACCACTTCTTCAGTTTGGCCGCCTTTATTAAAGAGATTGAGTATGTGGCATCATTCAGACCAGCTTCTGAAGAGACTTTTAGAAGTCTCTTCTAGAGAGACTTCTTTAGAAGATACTGAAGATACTTGCAGACTAAAAGTCTGCAAGGTATTGGTACAGAATTTAGCTTCTGAATAGTTCAATGCGCAAACCGGGATTGTTTTGGGAGTAATCTTATATTAAGCAAAGCAAAATATTTAGCATATTTACCAAAAGCTTTACTCCTTTTTTTTCTCGATAAAAGTTATTTATGTTCCCTCAGTTTTCTGCCCCTCCAAACCATCAGAAAATGTAACCACATTTCCATCTTACAGTACATATACCTGCACTGACAATTTAGCTGTATTTCACGCTAGTGGGTTACTGAACAGGATATTCACGAGACAGTTCCATTTTCCAATTTCTTTCCATTATTCCCTACCTAACATCGAAGAACAAAGACAACATGGAAAGGAAGTTATACTATAGCTTTCTTTATGGTTCCTACACTCCAGTCTATGGGAATAGATAAACCCTAACTTTTGTTGCTAGCTGTGGCTGTTCTTCTTCCATTCATTTCATAACCCCTCCCCTTCCTCAAATTTTACAAATTTATGTTTGTAAAAATGTAAAAAGAGAAAAAGAGAAAATCTAAACTATGGAGAGGCTAGGGATATTGCAACCTTATTAGCTAGTGCAGATATTCCTTGCTTAATAATGATAATTGGGAATGGTACTTCCATGAATAATGACACAGTCATAAAATGTGACATGCCAATTTATGAAGGCAGTTATGGCAGTCCAAATTGTTGTCATTAGGCAAACCTTGCATGGTTGCAGCAACTCACAGATCACCATTTGCAACTTTCTGCCATCTTCCTTATTGATTATGTTTGTCAGAAGCCGACAATGAAGGTTGCAAATGATGATCATATGACCATGGGACATTGCAACATTATAATTGAGAGATGGTTCCCAAGTGGTTGAATTGTGATCACATGACCACAGGGATGTTGCAACATCCTCAATTTAGAAGGACCTGTTGTAAGTAGCATACCCACAAATGGTCACTGAATGCATGATCATTCAATGGGAACTAGCTGTATAAAATTTAGGTGTTGCAAAAATCAAGTTTTTAATTATTTTAACTTTTATATTGTATGTTATTTTAATTCTTGGCTGTTCACTGCCCTGAGTCCCTTCGGGGAGAAGGGCGGGATATAAATTTAATTATTATTAATAATAATAATAATAATAATAATAATAATAATAAGTAGACACGTAACAATTGAGTGAATTTTGAAGTCACATCATTTCCAAATGTATTCATTTATAAAAGTCTTCTCTAACAGTAAGTCTTATTTCTTACAGGATGAAGCTTGAAGCAGAGTGCCAGAAACAGAATTTAATGGAGAATAGGCAAATGCTGGGAAAGACAGTTGTAATAATATTTATATAGCTGTGAAAAAACAAAGCAAATGCAAGTAGTATTCTTAAACTATATAATCGTTTTTCAATGGATGGTTTAGCATTCCAATCCTGGGTTGTTTTAATCATATGTTGAAAAAGTTAAACAAAATGATGTAATAAATAGTAGTTATATAATATAAACGGCTTGACTCATATATCGCACAAAGCCAAAATCAAGCAAACTCCATTATGGCTTAGCTTAAAGGATGAATCCAGCCAATGCAATACTGAAAATATATAACACAAGATCTTTGCATGCAGGTATAAATTGCATTATCATCATTTGCTCTTAAAATATACCATGAAATTGTATCCCTGCCTTATGGTTTTCATGTTTTCAGCCTAAAACATACACATTTGGATCCCCAAAGACAGCATCTTCAGAAACTTCCTGTGAATATCTTCTTGGATTTGCTTCCATATTCTTTTTCTATATTGCTGAACCAGAGGTGCTATTTCAAAAGGCAACTGGATTTCTTTGTTTTTGCATGAAGACTGAACTGAAGAAGCTTTTTGGATGAGAAGTGAAACATCTGAAACAAGCAAAAGCAAAGAAAGCCCAGTTGCCTTTTGAAATAGCACCTTTTGAACAACTATGACCTGGATGACTGATGATCCCCATAGCCCTATATTGCTGAACATTTATTGAGAATCACTTATTAAATATTTCTTATTTTTGATCAAGTCAACACTATTGCATTCTAGAATAAACCAGGCCATTAAAAAAAAAATTCAAATATTTAAAAAGTTCAAAGTACCGATATTTTGCTGTAGGGACAGTATTTTAAGTTGAATTGGAAAAAAAAAAGACATAATTTTGCCTCTGGCAATAGACACCCTTAATGCTAAGATGTAGAATTTGGTGTTCTAATAAAAATGATACAATTTGATCTCTACAAAATACAGAATGCTCCTTCTTGTAAAGCAGTATCAAGAAAAATAACCCTGACACAAAACTGTAAATGCTAATATTGAAAACCAAGTTATTACTTCTTATGCTATGTTTTATTGAGAGCAACAATGCATTACCTAAAGGTCAGAAAACATTTCTGATGATTCTTCTTGACTGTCCTGAAAAATTGAAGTGAAGCTTTCCAGAAGCCAATTCAAATGCAATCTAGTACTATTTAATCATAGGGATGTATGTAAGGCAACACACTGTATAATGGTGAGGGCAAACATTTAGAATTAAATATTCATTAGCTGTTTAAATTAACAAAATTCCTTTGTTCATTTTTTTCAGTGGCCTTTTATTATCTTTTTTTCCCTCCAGAAGAGGAAATCCCCCCTACTGATCTTTGTCTAAACAGGTGAAACAGCATTTTCTCATTAGCTCCGTATAA